GTCTGTGTATGTGTATGCACATGCATTATGTCATCACTTTTAAATTTAAAAAATATTTCCTTAATTATGTGACACACTTTGTTGTAGAATTAACAGGATCAATCACAAGCTGCTTGTAACAACCGAATTTCCTGGGATCCACCAAGTTAAACAGCTTCCGCATTCCATAATCCAAAAGAGAGCCAGCCATTTGTTGGCCATAGTTAGTTTTATCATTTATTTTTTAACATTCCCGGCTTGATGATCAAATTCAAGCTGGTCAAGACTTTTGTCTGCCCATTCCCATTTAAAAAAAAAAAAAAAGACAATTTCGGTCATTGGCGCTCCATGTTGGGCTTCACGTTGCTGATCTTTCATGTCCATGGTGCTCAAGCAGTTCAATTTCCCCTTTGCGCATCAGCCGTGCTTGGTGGCTCGCATGTTGTGAGACTGTGCTTTTTCTTCGCCCCCTCAGACACGCCGACGAGTGGCAAACATCTAACGGGAGCAAGGCAAAATCATTTGTGAGAGATCTTGTCAAACAGATTAATCCCCCACCCTGAGCCTCGGGGTTCTGGACCGTTTTCCTGTCATGCTGCTTTGCCAGGCTCCCTCTTGATAATACCCCAAAGATAAAATTAATTGTGCAGGGAGATGTGGGATGGGGAGCATCCAAAAGGACCTTGAGCAAGCCGTGAAATGCTCTCCCATTCTCACTCGCTCTCTCTGCATGTGAAAACACTGAAACCTGAGAATGCGTCACGAGCGTGACACGTTGCAAGGCGGTTGTTGTCCACTTTGTGCGGATATTTGCAAACCTTTCCAAGAGTTGCAAAATGTGGAAGGATTCGAATAATAGTTGTTCCACCAAATGCCTTTTTTTTTCATCAGCTTAACAACTTGAGGAATTGCAGAAAGTGGAAGTGAAACAAGCTAGTGACCACCCCTTTGTTCGAGCTTTCACTCATCACTGTCACTAAAGCTCTTCTCACGTTGGCAACCACAATCAAGAGAGGCGGTATGAGCAGCGGCTCATTTGCATGAAATGGGACCACCTCCTCAAAACACAATTTCTCCTCGAAATCATTTTTCTCTATTTCACAACACAGCCTCGTAGCAAGAGCCTTAAGAGACAAGGTAGAAGCTAATGACAGGACCTTTGGGGGGGGGGGGGCATTGAAAATTAAGCCCAAGGGCCGGTTCAAAGGGGGGGGGCAGCTTCTGTTCAGCGAGCTCTGCTAATCACGCCGCTCGGAAGCCCAAGCGGCTGACGGCATAATTCATAAAGTCGCCGAGGGCCGTGTCAAACATCGGCCTGAAAGCAGATGACTTTTCTGCAAGTGACGGAGCAAACAATGTACCGAACGATGATTCACCTGCCGCCCTCTGCGGCTGTGTCGCTCCCCAGCATCCGTGTGTGTGTGTGTGTGTGTGTGTGTGTGTGTGTGTGTGTGTGTGTGTGTGTGTGTGTGTGTGTGTGTGTGTGTATATATATACACATATATATATATATTTTTTTTTTAAATCCATTTGAAAGCTCTCCACTGACATACGGTACATCACTCATTGTGAAATACCTGCGAGAGATCAAGTCGGCAGGATAATAGCTGGGGAGACGATGCGCTTTGCTGCCCCGTGACAGGCATTTCCAATTAGACGAGGTAAATAAATAGTGGCTCGTCCGATTGTGGGATTCATCAGTCTATCGTGCCTTAAATCAGATCACAGATTTGGAATCCTCATTCATGGCGGTGGTGGGGGCACTATGATGTTCTGGCACGACAATTACACTTGGGAACACAATTTTTGTTGATTTCAATCTGACAGCTTTTTTTTTAAACTAGTTTTTGGGTGCGGAATTCAAAACTGATCTGAGTTTTTCCCGATCATAAGTTTTTCAGCGACAGGATCCCCATTTTCTTCAAACAATGTGAAATAAATATGTATGTTTGTAAATAAAACACTAAGTTGGAAAAGTTACAGGCTTTGAAAACAAAACAAACCAAAAAAATGGATGGAGGCAGGAGGAGCAGGGTGGACTGAACAAAATGCATTCACAAAAAAAAATACTCGCGGGAGTACTTTGGAAACACTAACTCAAATGCACAAATTCCTGAAAAATCACATGAAAACCAAAAGCAACAAACAAACAACAAAAAAAAAAAAAGGATGACACAATGATCTGACTGAAACTGACAGAACCCAGGGAACTGAATACAAACAAAGTGACGAGACAACAAGAAACACCTGGACAAGACACAAAGGATGGAGGGAGCTGATTGGTTAACACAAGGTACCCGGATAACAAAAACAGGTGGAGACAAAAAAGGCACATGAGAGAACAAAACCAAATGTAATCCAAACAAAAATAAAATCATAACACCACGGAACTTAAAACGGTATGCCCATGTTTAAAAGGTCAAGTCAAAAGTGACACCATATATCTGTAAAAGGTGCACTGGATTATAAAGCGCCGTGTCGGCATTTGGGAAGATTGAATTCTTTTAAGTGCGCCTTATAGTGCGGAAAATGTGGGATTGATAAAAACGGTTTGCTTTAGTGTTGTCTTTTCCTCCCCTCTGCTTTACTGGGGTACCTTCGTATTGAAATATGCCAGCGAGTTTGTTTTCGTTTCCTGAATCAAGTCTGCAATCATATGAAAAGACAAAGGGTGGGGGTGGGGGGGGCATTAAAAAGTGTTGTGCGACATGACACCGTTGTTGTGTTTGTAAAAGCGTGAATGAACAACAACAAAAATAACATTTAATTTGAAGAAAACTTTATTACTCGGGTTTTATGAATCATTTGGGAGCCCTCGAAAATCAGCCCCCCAAAATCCAATTTTTCTACGTGTGGGTGGGCGGTCAGGGGGTCTCACAGGCGAAGCCATCCAGCCTACATCAGGCACAGCTGGTTGCGAGGGAGCGCAGGTGTAACAAACAAGTCGCCTCTGGCCTTTAAAGCTCGCCCATGTGCTAATGATTGGAACCCGCCTCGCCGAGTCTCGCCATCCCCAAAATCCAACCAAATGTGCTCCTTCTGTGTCACAATGCACCCGAAGCCAACCAGCGCGCCGTTGCAATCAGCCAGACACAGCTGGCTACCTGCACCTCTGTAGATTAGTTCCTGTATTGCCTTTTTCAATTAACTCCAGCCAACATTATCAGAACGCATCGTGATTGTGAATAACTTCCAAAGGGGGGGGCGGAATAGCCCCCTTTTTTTTTTTTGTAAATAAAGTGACATGACTCATTAATGTGATGAATGGCTGTGCAATTCCCTCAGAGCCTTCCTTCAAGCCTCCCCCCCCCCCACCTCCTCCCCGTGGGCTAATTCCAGGGAAAGAAAAGGGCGAGCGCTTAAAACCTGCGCCTCAAAGTGCTGAAGCAAGCAAGGCCACCAGCCAAACGGTCCCTTTTTTCAACTGTTGACGCTCCCAAGGACCCATCTCGCAGTTCACAGCAAATCATTAACTTCACCCCGGCCACAGCCACTCGCCGTTGTAGAGAGATGATGGTGAGGGGAGGGGACACTCCAATAGGGGTGGGTGGAGGTGGGGGGGTGAGAAAAAAAAAAAGGTCATTGGCAGCCGTAAAGGCTAAATAAACTGTATTATTGTCTTTGGAATGCACGGGATGACCACTGACAGATCTGCCTGGAGAACACAAGGATTCCAGATAGTAAAGGAGGGAAGCGATACAACGTCAAAACATGGGAGTTTCTGGTAGCGCACAATGTCGCAACAATCGAATTGAATGCTTCACTCGCCATGGTTTCCGTGGCAACCAAGCTCTTTACGACTATTTATCTTAATGTGACGCAGGCTTACGCAAGATGTATCGCTACCACCAGATGGTGATTCTCAAAAAAAAATGACACCCAGAACTATGACAAGTTCTCAAACATCTATCCATCCATCCATTTTCTGATCCGTTTTATTCTCACAAGGGTGGTGGGGCATGCTGGAGCCTATCCCAGCTGTCTTCGGGCAGTAGGCGGGGGACACCCTGAACCGGTTGCCAGCCAATCGCAGGGCACACACAGACAAACAACCATCCGTGTTCACAATCACACTTGGGGACAATTTTGAGTGTTCCATGTATGTTTTTGGAATGTGGTAGGAAACTGGAATACCCGGAAAAAACCCACACAGCCACGGGAAAGACACGGAGCAATGAAATAAATGACTTCCACAAGAATGAAAATCAACAGAGAACAATACTTTTTTAAAACAACAAAAAGAACCTACACTGGAGAACAATAAAATACTGTATAACAGTGCTCAACAACATCTACAAGTTGAACAATGAAACATAAGATGAACTACTTTCAGATGAATCACAAACTACACGTAAAATGATGGAGGAAAAAAAATCATTGAAAAACCCCACAATGAATGAAAGACCATTGGTTTAAACCACTTCGAGAGCAATTGAGGAACATTAAAAAAAATATATATATATATATATATTAGGTGACAGTAAAAGTCTCCTGGTTCTTTGAAATCCCTGCATAGAATCGCGTCCCTTCTTTTGGAAGGTCACACAGGACAAGTGACTTGAGGAAAGGCCTCCGTTTCCTCGACGGCTCGTGTTTTTACAATGAGGCTCAAGTTGAAGTGGCACTTGGGTTCACTTGATTTTGAGTCCCGTGCACTGCCGTGAGGCAAATGTGTGAGGTCCTTTCAGGTAACAGGAGGAAGAAAAAAGAACAAAAATCCGCATTCAATGCCTGGTCTTCAGTTTAAGCCAGGATTGCTCTCAAGTTACCATGCCCCACGACAGCATCATGTCTACACATATATACTCGAGAGCACCTCTGGGTTTGCCTCGGCAAACGAGGACACACCATATTCCCTACTTCTTACCTTTGCCAATTTGCTCCCGGGAGGCCCACAGCCCTTGTCTTTATTACGGGAGTTCCTCATTGATCAATCACTGTCAGGGTAGAGAAGGCTGCTCTGTAATTGCTCGGTGTTCTAATCATGAGTGACGCCCCCCCCAACCCCTCCTCTGTCGCAGGTCTCAGCAGAGAGAATGTTCCTTGACTTTCACACTGAACACCTCAAGGTAGGCTTTTTTTTTTTCCTTTATGCACACTATTTCCTGGGGTTATCTTTCAAAATGGTCTTTGAGTGAAGCTTAGTTAAGGCATTCGAGGTCGGGTAGAAGCCCGGAATTGAATGGCAGAGGACTTTGTGAAA